TCTAGACGGGTTGAGCCTGATTCTTTACTCATATTCTAATTGATGAGGGAGCTCAAACTCGCGAACCTGAAGCTCTTAGTCCATTTCTAATGGCAAATGAGAATACTCGTATTGTTATTGCTGGAGATCATCAACATAATGCAGTATCATGACGACGTTCATGAATAGTGGTGCACGATGTTAAAAACTCATTACACTTCAACCAAAATATACGAAAGTTATCCTCACCATTAGAATTAAAGTGCCGTAAATCAATCACAATATCTGGATCTTCAGCTAATAATGCTTCCTGAACACGAGTGTCAATCTCTTTCTCATGTGTTGTACGAGCAGTAGACAAGTCATTAGTTAGAGCATGATATATGCTACGAAGGAGATATGGCTTGCTCTCAGGAGATATCCTGCCATAAATGTTGTAAAATTCCCTTCTCATTGCTCTTGTGTGGTATACAGGTATCTCCTTTTTAATTTCTTCAATGACACGCATATTTTCAGTAGAGCTTTCAGAGGCAGATAACGGAGCTTTCCATATAAAGTGGTAATTCCCAACATTGGAATTATGAGTATATGTAAAGTAAAATATGGGATGACTAAGTCCTTTCTCTAGTTCTCGAATATATAAATATCTACGTCTATTATCTTGTGGACTAAAGTCATGAACACATAGTTTGCAATACTCAGGTTTTGAAGCAATAGCATCATCTAACTCTGATAACAAAGGAGACACACTTGACGAAGACTTAATATGGCGAACAGTGGACGAATCTGAAAATGAAACAGATGGCTCAGGGGAAGAATGATGTTCCTTCATTGCTTTGTTTCTAATGGATAAATACGAAGCGTATGATGCCAGAGATTCAACTAAGGCAATCAACTCATTTCTAAAGAATGTCCATTCCGTCTGCTGCATCCAGCTGCTCATGACATGTTCCTGTAGTAAAGATGAGTACTCAAGGAGTTTGTCTCTGCTCATATTGGAAATTGATCGTTTCCTATGCTTGCTCAGCTCAGGCCTGTTGAAACCAACAAAAGGCTTAAATAGTATAGGGATGGGGCAAGAACGACTAGCAAGCACATCATGATGCCCATCCAGATACCATAGTACATTGCTCAAATCCAATAGAAAAGGCTTGCCATAAACATCAGGATCAGCCCACCCAATCGCCTTAGATTCACAAAACTCAACAAGCTTATTAAAAAGTCTGTTCTTTCTTGACGTTTCTCTTAATAGGGATGGCAATGAAGTAGGTAGCGGAATATCATCACATACTAGCCTTGGTCGTTTGGACAAGACTTCTAAATCTAATGACTGCTGAGAAACAGCTACAACAAACTTAACGAAAGATCCAAATATTCCACACACACTATTTACATTGTGAGATGCATCAACTACACTGAAACTTTCCTTAGATGTACCAACGTATACTCTCTGGAGTACAGAATTCTCTAAATCTTTGGAAGAAATTGTTGACACAAGCCCTGACTGAATTTTGGCAAAGAGTGATTGAAATGATAACTCTTCATCATCCTGCTGCATAGATTATGAAATTAAATAATAAAACACTTGTAAACACAAAACTTACTTTAATAATGTTCCACGGCACTAATAGAGCAACCTCTGATGCAATAGCAACACTTAAATACATCCTAAAAATAGCTAAATGATAAACAAATTATATTAATTTACTAATGCTACCTTTTACACGCAAAGCAGTGATGTGATATAGTCAAATATTGACTCTATAATAATACGAGTAGACCAGGACTGACGTGTGAGACTCTATTATAACAGGAAAAGACTAGGACTGGCGTATGAGACTCTATTATAACAGGAGAAGACCTGGACTGACGTGTGAGACTCTATTATAACAGGAGAAGACCTGGAGTGGCGTATGAGACTCTATAATAACAGGAGAAGACCTGGACTGGCGTATGAGACTCTATTATAACAGGAGAAGACCAGGACTGGCGTATGAGACTCTATTATAACAGGAGAAGACCAGGACTGACGTGTGAGACTCTATTATAACAGGAGAAGACCAGGACTGGCGTATATGAGACTCTATTATAACAGGAGAAGACCAGGACTGGCGTATGAGACTCTATTATAACAGGAGAAGACCAGGACTGGCGTATATGAGACTCTATAATAACAGGAGAAGACCTGGAGTGGCGTATGAGACTCTATTATAACAGGAGAAGACCAGGACTGGCGTATGAGACTCTATTATAACAGGAGAAGACCAGGACTGGTGCATATGAGACTCTATTATAACAGGAGAAGACCAGGACTGGTGTATATGAGACTCTATTATAACAGGAGAAGACCAGGACTGGCGTATGAGACTCTATTATAACAGGAGAAGACCAGGACTGGTGCATATGAGACTCTATTATAACAGGAGAAGACCAGGACTGGTGTATATGAGACTCTATTATAACAGGAGAAGACCAGGACTGGTGTATATGAGACTCTATTATAACAGGAGAAGACCAGGACTGGTGTATATGAGACTCTATTATAACAGGAGAAGACCAGGACTGGCGTATGAGACTCTATTATAACAGGAGAAGACCAGGACTGACGTGTGAGACTCTATTATAACAGGAGAAGACCTGGAGTGGCGTATGAGACTCTATTATAACAGGAGAAGACCTGGACTGGCGTATGAGACTCTATTATAACAGGAGAAGACCAGGACTGGCGTATGAGACTCTATTATAACAGGAGAAAACCAGGACTGGCGTATGAGACTCTATTATAACAGGAGAAGACCAGGACTGGCGTATATGAGACTCTATTATAACAGGAGAAGACCTGGAGTGGCGTATGAGACTCTATTATAACAGGAGAAGACCTGGACTGGCGTATGAGACTCTATTATAACAGGAGAAGACCAGGACTGGCGTATGAGAGGAGAAGGCTAGGACTGGCGTGTAAGACTCTTTAATAATAAGAGAAGTCCCTCAGAACAACTTGTAAGTGATGACCACAACTCCCTATAAAAGAAATGTAATTATACAATGTAGACACCTCCCAACTCCCACCCAAATATTTTCATGATAATTGGCAATAAGCTACTGTTAATCATAAGTAGCTTGTAGTTATATTATGAAACATAAGTAAAAGATGACTACAGTATCCCGGCATGCAAGCTAGTTTTACTGTTTAATACTGCCTGGTAGTGGCCCGACATCATTTAAAAATGTGAATAATTCTACTCACCTCGTCAACTTAATGACTGCAAATAAGATCAAAGAGAGAAAGAAATTGTACATATATGCACTATAAATAGGCGAAAATGAATAAAGCTTCGAGTAAGCCAGCAGGTCACAGCATGAGTACCTCATAGAATACAGCCATGTTGCCAGTCATCCACGAGGAAGGTCCGTAAACTATCCGTGTACTCCATGAAACTAAGAGTATCCGGAATAACTATTTTATCATGCAGAACTATTTTTACGAGCGGGCGGGGATGAGAAACAATGAATTTAATCACGGTGGCCTAATTGATGACAGAAGTGTCATAGTCAGAGGAAGCATTAGGAGGACGATACATAACACATATAGTTACTGGGTGGGGTAGAGTAATGGTGACAGTGAATTGCTCCAGGATGGAGTCATGACCGGGTGGGACAAAGGAACAGGGGATGTTGTCCCTAACAGCAAGAAAGACACCACCGCCACGACTGTCTCTATCATACCGAAAAACAAGGTAATCAGGAGGAATGAATTCCTTATTAAAAACAAGGGGGGTGAGCCAGGATTCTGTACAGGCAAATAAATCAATTTTTGAAGAGTGTATAAGAGAGAGTACTTGTGACATCTTGTTAACGACACTTCTAGCATTAATGAGACAAGAGGAAAGGCCTAGTCAGGCCGAGTCAGAAACCTGGGTAGTAGTGGGAGACTCAGTTAGAGAGGTGGACCCTCCCCCTGAACTAGATTCAACAGCATTATCACTGCCATCAGAGATAGTCCTCTCACCTGAATCAGATTCCAAATTCTCCTCATCAG